TTCTCTACGCCTTGAGAAGTGTTTAAGCAGCTCGATATTAGATGTTGGAAAAGCATTCTCTAAAATGTATTGATCTGTAAGAGCTAGGCAGGATAGGATTTTAACTTTGCGGCAGCGCTCCTTGCCGGCCTGGTTTTCATTTCAGCAGCCAGGCTCTCTCGCTGTCAGCCAGATTTGATATTACAGCTGGTGTGCTGCCATTCTTTTTTAAATGGGACATGTTCTGCAGAGAAGGAACCTGCCTGATGGAAATAGGAGAGCTGCAGTTGCTGAAGTGTTCTGTTGCTGACACCTTTAGTCTTCCTCCTTTAGGTCGTCTGTGATCCTGTGGGGATTGGGTGTGGAGATGCAGTCAATGTGCACATGCTCGTTCAGGGTCAATAACTTGCTAAGTAGTGAAGGTAAACATGACAATCTTTAAAACAAGTAGCCACCTGTGTATTTTAGTCCTGATGAGCTCTAAGGGGGCTTTTGGACCCCTCCAGAAACGAGGGCTCTAAGTAGGTTTGTGGTCTCCCCCAGGAACGTGGGCTCTAAGGAGACTTGTGGACCCCTCCAGAAATGAGGGCTCCAAGTAGGTTTGTGGACTTCCCCAGGAATGTGGGCTGTAAGGAGACTTGTGGATCACTCCAGAAACAAGGGCTCCAAGTTGGCTTGTGGACTCCTCCAGGAATGAGGGCTCTAAGGAGACTTGTGGTCCACTCCAAAAATGTGGGCTCTAAGGCTTGTGGACCCCTCTGGGAATGTGGGCTTTAAGGAGGCTTGTGGACCCCTTCAGGTGTATGGGCTCTAAAGAGGCTTTTGGACCCCTTCATGACCATGGGCTCTAAGGAGGCTTGTGGACCCCTTAAGGAACATTTGCTATAAGGGGACTTGTGTACTCCTCCAGGAACATGTATTTGGGCATCATTCTACCCGTGTCTGCCCCTGTTGCTATACTGTAAACAGCAAAAATATTCTCACAAGTTGTTTGCATATTTAAGAACAAGGAACCCAGTGAAATCTTCCAGGGAACCGTTATTCCCGTCCAAGAAACCCAGCCGGAGTGGGCAGGCAGTTCCGTTTAATCTGTACAGACATTCATGTTAGGCTGCCCAAGCTTGTTGTGTGGATGATGCATTGGAGTCTATTCCAAAGGTGCCTGCGACGTACTGATGCAGTCCTAGTTAGCTAATTGAATTGTGGGCTCTTGATAGTCATATTAGTGCCAGATGGGGCCCATTCACAGTATTGTGTTGCGGTAACTCGCAGCATCGCATGATAACTGCGCTGCCACCATGAGCTACCATTCATTCTACAATGCGCCCCAATGATGGACTGCATGCTAACGTGTATTGTGCCACAGGGCGATGGCATCATATTTTTGTCATTTTGCAGTGCATGTTGGCATTTTGCAGTGGACTGCGACATATGTTTGTCACAAGGTGCCGGGAGGGGAAAATCAGCCAAAAGCACATCCAGAACTGCTGGCGGAAGGTGTAAATATGGTCTATTATTACAGAGTCTTTTTTTCCAGACTGCATACAGCTGAATTTTTAGCCATAATCAATGCAGTGTAAGGAAGCCATGACTTCTATAGAGTATGGCTTAGGACCCAACGAGAAAGTATAACCGGGTTATGGTGAGAAGGGACTGAGGGAATCAAAAAGCCCTCCAACCAAATGGATGCGTAGCACAGTAAAACCTTCTTAAAAGTATTCACATGCCTCATTCCATCACATATCTAAGGCCCGGTTCACACCTGGGCGTTTTGTAGCGCGCTCCTACGCTCTGCAAAATGCTCAAACACCGAAATCCCATTATTTCCTATGGTTATGGTTCACACCTGGGCGTATTACAGGCCGTATGAACTCGCTACAAAACGCCCTACGCCCAAAGAAGTACAGGAGCTTCTTTGGGGCATATTTGATACGCCTAGGTGTGAACCCAGCCTTAAAAATAAGAATTATTAGTCATTTTAGAACAGTGGGTGCACATTCTTTTCTGCCCCATCAGCCAGAAGCACACCCAGAACCGCTGGTGTATATTGCAAGTGTGGCCTATTATCATAGAGCCATTTATTCCAGACTGCATACAGGTGTTTCGGGCAATGTATGGGAACCATGGCTCCTATAGAGTAGGGCTTGGGGCCTGATGAGAAGTAGGGATGCACGGATACCGTTTTTTCGGTTACGACTAACGATGTATATATATTTTTTTTTGATACTCGCCAATGCTGAATATGGATACCGGAAGTCCCATTACGGATGCTGGACGGCATGTGATGACTCGCCGCCCGGCTTCCTGATTAGCCGGGAGGCCGTCTCCATGTGACTAGGAAGCATGAAGCCGGCTTTCTTTCCAATCAGGAAGCCGGGCGGCAGGTATTGACTCGCCACCCCGCTTCCTGATTGACCAGCTTCCCGACCAATCAGGAAGCCGGGCGGCGTGTAACAACTCGCCGACTGGCTGCCAGATTGGTCGGGAAGCTGGCTCCATGCTCGCTCGTCACCAAGTGTATTCCGGTATCAGGATAAGTATGGGGAGCATTTGGGCGAGTACTCGGTAGCGGCACCGATACTAGGATCGGTGCATCCCTACGAGACTAAAGGAATCAAAAAGCTCTCCAGCTAAATCCATGCGTGCTAATATGGTGAAGAGTGTTACTAGCGCAGATCTCTCTTAGTCACTCGGGAACCAGCCGGCCTGGGGCGGGTAGCTGATTAAAGCACGGTGCTCACCGGTGGAAATGAGCACAGCGGGGCCCTAACTGACGCCTGAGTCGTCGTGACATATTTAGCTGAGGCATTTTCCAGCGCTCTCCTTGGGTGCGTCACAGCAGTTGTTATATTCTGAAGGTCACGGGCCTGAGTGCGATGACGGAACAGATTAAATCTCCTTGGACTTGGAAGCGTTGCTCCATGTTAATAAAGCTTGGAGTTAGGAATACACTTTATTGCCGGACTGAAAGGATCTAACATAGAAGATATGGAAACACGTTGGCTGTCTTTGCCAGGCGTGGCTGCAGGATTTTTTCTTATATCGGCGTCTGAAGCAGGAACCAGACTGATATTTTTTTTTTTATTCCTCCTCACTGCAGTAGGAGGAGAAGAGGGAGAATCTGACCGGTTGCATAATAAATAATTCCCCAACGCTTCGATCTACCAGCCACCAAAGAGGACCTGTTGCCTTATAATAAAAACAAAGGTCTCCATTGCATGCTTTTTGCAAGCATGTGCACGTGGCTGTTTTGTGCGCAATGCTATACAGTCTTTCCTTGTATAGAGGTTGGAGGCGTTGGCACATTTAAAGGAAACCTGTTCTTGGAGACATATATGGAGGCGGCCCTCGTGGAAGATGCTTCTGTGGAAAAACAGTAACAAAAATCTTGGGACAATCGATTCCTCGCCTAAGGAGGGTTAGCTATAGGACATCAGGGAAAGTCTAAAGCAGGGGTAGGCAATATTGGTACTCCAGCTGTGGTGAAACTACAATTACCATCATCTCTTTGCTCTGGGAGTCATGCCTGGGGCTGTTCAGCCTTGCAGTGCCTCATGGGACTTGTAGTTCCACAACAGCTGGAGTTCCGAGGCTGCCTACTCCTGGTCAAAAGCTATACAAGCCCATCGTGATTTGATTGGTAGTGCAGAAATAGGCAAACACCCCAAAAGGTCCCCCCTCACACAAGCATTCCATCGGTCCATTTCTGACCCGTGCTTAGATTAGAAACCAACTGCAGTGTGTCCCTATGAGCGGCCAGATATAAATGGCTGTGCCTCCATTTACAGCCGTGTCCACTCGGGTTTCTTGGACCGAACGCAATAAGATTGTGTCCAGGACTGGTTTTTCCGACCTGGATGGATATAAACGGATGCACAAATGTTTACATGTAGCCGCCCATTGGGATTACCTGGGTCCTTTTTTGTAGTTTGAGGATAAGTTGTTGGGGTTGTTAAGGGGTGGAGGATATTTTGTACACTTTGGAAGGCAAGGGGTTGGAAAATGTATTTTGTACCCTTTTTGAGGGGTGGGGTATATTTTGTACACTTTGGGAGGGGGGACTGTATTGGAAATGACCCTGCAGACGTGACTCGGACACTCCCTATACTGAGCTTTATCGTGCAGAGTTACACAGCTAATTAGCACATCACAAAACAAGCAAATGGCTGCATACAGAGAGCGGAGAGCGGAGGGGGAGGACATTTCGGTAAGTAGCCTTTTACAGGGGCATCAATTTTGTATCGGGTTTTTTAAAAACATATTTTAAAATAAGCCATATGGAAGTTTCAATGTTGTGAGTTATCCGCTCGGATACAGTGAGGGGAATTTATCAAAACTGGAGCAGACAAAATCTGGAGCAGCTGTGCATGGCAACCAATCAGCTTCTCTCTTTCATTTTCAAATCTTAACTGAACACACTGAAGAGAGAAGCTGATTGGTTGCCATGCACAGCTGCTCCAGATTTTGTCTGCTCCAGTTTTGATAAATTCCCCTCAATGTGTGTCGACATTCCCGCACAAGTAGGTATATTTACATCAATGGCTGATGTTGGTTCTCTGAGATTGCTGGGCTGTGTATTCCATATAAAGGCGGCATGGTGGAGAACAACGTTTTAGCCCTCTGCCTCCTTTACCTTCTATTTAAAGTGCGTGTGAGCCCAAACAATGAACTTCTCTTTGTATCTGTATCATGAGTGCAAAAACAAAACTCTGTTGATCCTGCCATAAATCTAGTGATCCGATAACTTCCTGTCCTCTCTGCCTCTACTGCACTGTTGTGTTAGCATTGTTCCCAGCTATGTCTGGACCACAGAACACCCTCCCTGCATAATAGCGATGTGGCCAGGGGGCAGCGTTCATTCGAATGGCACCCCAGCGCATCTCCGCATATACCACACCGCAATACTGTGTGGTAAAAAGTAGTAGTGCATGTGTGGTAGCGTGCATTAAACGCATGGTATTATGCATTTAATGCAATGCTATGGTGTAAGTGAATCCCTGGTGAGTGTTGTCACCCTAGGGCAGGAAGTGTGTTACTGGCAGGATCGCCAGGTGAAAAGAAAGCTAATGCAGCCACCACATCTAAAGACCGGCAAGCTGCAATGTATTACATTTCTGTTCTTGGGTTTATATAAACTTGAATGAAACACGGAATAAGTCTCTTCCACAGGCTCATTAGAGGGTTGGATGCGTTAGTAAGAGCAGAACAATAAAGGGTTACTAAAGTAACGGGTCAATTAAAGGGTTATAAAAATATCTAGTAGACCATTGAGGCGATTCTACAAGTCAGGTTTAGTTTTGGGGACAGAGGGGAAGTGACAGACTCGGGTTCTTATTGCTGTGTCCCCTTATTGGAGAATTTCCCTCACTTCCTTTTGGGAAAGGAAGTGATGGGAAATTTCTTCACGGACTGAAACAAGACCGCTTTTTTATTTTTTTAAATTTTTAAACGTCAATAAAATGGGGAAAGGTTGGTGAGTTGTCAGGTGTATATGTATATATGTGTTATATATATATATTGAGGATATTCGTTGATCAGGGAATCCCCAAATGGAGCTTGCAGCTTATTTGGGTGCAAGCAATGTTCTGCCAAGACCTGCTGCCTTGATCTGCTGATCGTGGGGTCTCGATCGTAACAGTGCCGACAGCGGCGCCCACTGTGCGATTTTTAGCCGATTCATCAGGAACATCCGAAATTTGTACTGTGTATACCCGACTTTACCGCTCATGTCTTTTTCCTGGTGACAACTGTTTCCCTCATTTTGTTGTCTTGACGGTCACAGATGGATAAATAAAATTTGGAGGGAAGTGTTTACGCTTTCAAAATCTATCCAAATGTTAAAAATGGCTGAAGTTTGGCTTAAAAAAACTAGACTAGCATTCATGTTACAAAGCCGGGGGGGTTGTTGTGTCGTCTTTTTTTTTTTTGTCTGCTTTATCTCCCAGTCTTGAAGAGGCAGAGTGTCTTTTTGTTTTGTTTTTGTGCTAACCTATGTAAACGGTTGCTTGCATATTCTTCTGTTTAGTAAACTTGCCAGAGGAGCCGCATCAATAGCTCTGCAGGCCAGCAAAATGGCCGCCCGTCTAGTAGCCTCATTTAAATGCTAATGAATAATTAAAAGTTGCAGCGCTGCATATGAAATGCGTGGACTGAGGCGCAATTAGAAGCAGGCGGGAGCCCACGAGAGAGGCTGAGGAGTGCGGCACCACACTGCAAAAATGATTAATTAGGGAGAAGAGCTCAATAAAAATACCGGAAAATTGGATAGAGGGGGATGGATAGGATTGGCGCTGTAGGTAACGGCAGCTTATGAAATGGGTTGTCTGTGAACACATCACAAATAATTTTGACCCTTTTGGGGGTTGTGGTGCCATCTAGCAAAATGTTCTCACTATACATAAGTGGTTTCAGGCATTTTTCATGTGTTTTCAAACTTCATCCTTGTATCTGCTTCCTGGTGTTGTGCTATTGGGGCTCCCAGTCCTGGAAAACGTCACACCTGATTTCTCCCCAGGCCGCCCCTCTGCTGCTTGCCATAGTTTTTGTAATGACCATCACTGGGGTCACAGAGGTTCATGTGGGCCCTCACCAGGCCAATAAAAGTCTCCACATCCAGCCTGGACATTCTTGAATCTTCCATTTTGTTCACTTCACAAGCATGAGGTTGCTAGGGGGAGAAGACAGATTGTTAGGCCTGAGTTTGCTAGGAGGAGGAGGAGGAGGAGGGTGGTTGTTAGGCCTAAAGTTGTTAGGCCTAAGGTTGCTAGGAGCGAGAGAGCGGTTGCTAGGGGGAGAAGAGTGGTTGTTGGGCCTGAGGTTGCTAGGAGGGGAGGGCAGTTGTTAGGCCTGAGGTTGCTAGAGGGAGAAGAGGGGTTGTTAGGCCTGAGGTTGCTAAGAGGAGGAGTAGGGCAGTTAGGCCGGAGGTTGCTAGGAGGAGGAGGGCAGTTGTTAGGCCGAAGGTTGCTAGGGGGAGAAAAGTGATTGTGAGGGCTGAGGTTACTAGGAGGAAGAGAGCGGTTGTTAGGCAAAAGGTTGCTAGGGGGTGAAGAGTGGTTGTTAGGCTTGAGGTTGCTAGGAGGAAGAGGGCAGTTGTTAGGCCGAAGGTTGCTAGGAGCAGGAGACCGGTTGTTAGGCAAGAAACACAAAAATGCTTGTATTGTGTAATTTCAGGCTCTCATTGCTGTCTAAAGTCCCATGATGCATCTGCCTCTGGGAGTCATGCCCGTATGCTCTGTGGGCAAGCAGCATTAAATGTAATGGGAATCTACATGTTGAGCATTGTCGTGCTTTGGGAAACGCACGACAAATTGCTCAGGTGTGAATGAGCAAATGATGTCGCTGTGCAGTGATACGGGGCCTTGTTTGTGGTGCAGCGTTGCCCAGGCGTGACGATTAGGCAATCTCGCATCTGTAGGCAACTGCACAGAACTGACTGATGGATCTTGGGGGGAGGGATAGGGTTAATAAATTGTATCATTTATAAACCTGTTATAAGCCAGGGCAACATTTGCTGAGGAACTGGAATTGCCCTTTAAGTCTCTTCTTTGGTCTGCAGGAAGTATTGTAGAAGAAGTTTGCCAGAATCCACTAATCTCTATAGGTTCACACCTAGGCGACACCTCACCGCGCAGCAATCGTGCACTTTGCCGTGCGGTCAGGAGTCGCAAAGGTGTGAACCGATCGTGCTGTGGGTGCCATTATTTTCTAATGACACCCCAGTAGCGCCGGGCGGATCGTGCGGTTTCCCGCCGCGATTCCACATGTACTTCCGTACACTAAAAAAGCAGCGCGTCGTGTATCGCCATTAAAAAAAGGTACATGTACCTTTTTTTTTTTTCTGCGATTGCCGCGCGGATGTCACCCCATTAAAATCGATGGGGCCGCGCTGCCTGCATCGAACAGGACTGCGCAATCCCAGCACGTCCCTGGTGTAGTGCAGGTGTGAACCTACGGTTAACCGTTTTGGAGGACTCGACCTCTAAGATTTTGGATCTCCCAACAGTGAGATCTTCCAGCCACGATTTCAGATTGCATTTCCTGCCCACCTGGCTGTTTGGGGTGTTCCCGCCCACCATTGTGTTGCAGCTCCTCCTGTTACATACAGCGGGAAGCCCTCGTAATGGCCAGAACAGGTGTGCAGATCTCACCACCAGAGTCCCCGAGAGATGGAGGAAATGATCAGATGGTGTTTACCTCTTAACAAACACTGAGACTTCAATTTTGGGTGGACTGACATTTGAATTAGTTCATGAATAAATGTGATTAACATTATTCCCTTGTTTTTGTTTGCAGGCTATGTTAGGACCATGGAATATCGCGTGACGCCTCGAATAGGAATCTGTTCTAACCAAGTTATGTTCTGAGGTGAGTCGGTATACGTTGGTATTCAGTATAATATTCTATTTGCAGGCATGGTGGAGCATATTTTTGACAGCCACGGTTATGGATGAGCATTTCAGTGAGCAGAATCACGGCAGCATTGAAAAACGACCTTTTCTTGTGATCTTTGACACGACTTTAAAAATGGTTGACTCTAAGGCCTCATTCACACAGCTGCATGCCGGCCCGTACAGATCTTCGCTGCGTGCATGGCCGTATCGTGCCGCTCCCGGGAAGGACAGGTGCTGTGTGTGATTAGTGTGCAGCCCCTGTCCTTCTCTATGGGAGTACGCGGCCATACACCGCCCTACGCTCACCCAACCTGCACGTCGGTGCGGGTTTCCGTACTCGTATGCTGACAGGATGGATACTGTCTGCGTCCGAGCAGGGACACCTGCACCCGTACGGACGTGCAAGTCGGGTGAGCGTGGGGCGTCGTACGGCCGTGTACTCCCATAGAGAAGGACAGGTTGCTGCATACGGGCGTGACTCCCAGAGTCAGATGCATCATGGGACTTGTAGTTTTACCTGGGCCGGAGTCTGCCTAAGCCTGCTATAGAGGTGTCACTTGAGTTATAGCTTTGAGTCTACCAGGGCTGTGGAGATCATACTCAAGATGGCGGTGCCCAGCAGCAGTCTCGGGGCTTTTGGATGTCTACAAGGGAGGCTTTTACGGGTAAATAACATGCAACAAATATGTTAAATGCACATAATCGTATGAGAAGATTTTTGTTACAATGAATGCTCTGCGAATGGTCTCTTCCTAGAATCTTTCTCCTCTCCTCTGAGCACAAGTTCGCAGCTCCTGGGTCTGACAACTGGTTCTGTAGCAGCAATTTGGGCAGTGCTGGGCTGAAAAAGGAGCTTCTGCTCGGTGCTTGTTAAAATATATGCAGAGATTTATACACTGCCCTGGCTGTAGCTATCCCTACAGCTGCTTGCTTAACAGAGTAGTAGCCACAGCCAGACACTGTGTTTACACCTTGTGGTTATAATCTACCTTGCCACTGGCAGCTCCTGTATAGGGAGCCCCTGATAGACTTCTATGGAACAGTCATCTAAACATCTCCAGTCTTTATAAGATGGTTACATAGCAAGAGACGTCGGAGCATCTTTGGTCTCAGGAGGTGGTCCCATGGATAGTTTTCTACACTTCCTTAGTCTTGGTAGATGGTTCTATTGGAAGAGTCTTCTGAGCATCTCCAGCCTTACGAGATGGTCCCACAAGAAGAATCTTTGGAGCGTCGTTGGTCTTGGGAGATGGTCCCATAGGTAGTCTTGTACACATCTTTAGTCTCCGGAGATGGCTTCATAGGAAGAGTCTTCTGAGCATCTTTAAGCTCGGGAGATGGTCCCATAGGTAGTCTTCTACTTCTGTTTAGTCTTGGGAGATGGTCCCATAGGTAGTCTTCTACTTCTTTCGTCTCCGGAAATGGTCCCTAAGGTAGACTTCTACACATCTTTAGTCCCCAGAGATGGTTCCATCGGAAAGTCTTCTGAGCATCTCCAGTCTTGAGAAATGGTCACATAGGTAGTCCTATGAGTCTGCTAAACCTTTCCCATCTTGGGAGATGGTCCTAGAGGAAGACTCTTCTGAGTATCTCCATTCTCAGGATAGATCGGGGAGCTGAGACACATAAGTACACTTGCCCTTAAGGCCCGGCCAACATTTTTTGTGTTGTGGAAACGTGCAGTGCTACACAATGTTAATGTGTTGTGGTGCCATTCATTTTTAATACCACCCCAATTACGTACGGTAATACAATGCTGTGTGTTGCATTAAAGACTGAAAGCATTTGGCAAAGCAAAAAAATACAAAAAAGGACATACCTGCAATACTCGTTCCACATTTTATCCCTTTAAATCAGCTAGAAATGGAACAAAAGAGAAGGTGGCGTGCCCCAGAAACGCGTAAAACCATTTATCAATACAGGTTACTGGTGTTTTACATCGCTCCAGATTCTCCCTGGGCTGGCAACACAACAACTGAGTGGTGTCCGCTCTGCCCAATGTGTTTTGCTAAACTACTCAACCACTTCCACTCACAGATCTATACAACATAAAGCTAGTCGTTTTCTAGTCCGATAAGACCTAGGAGGGCTCTTTTTTAAAATAGCACAGGAAGTGTGCTAAAGACCCAAACGGCTCTGAATTTGAAAATTATTTTTTATTTGCAGTTCTCAAACATATCTAGCAAAATGCTTTTTAATGGTATATTTAACAGACCAAAAAGAAGCGAATAGGAGAAGTTCATTGTTGGGATTTACATAAGTTTTAGGGACTCATGCAAATGGATGCCTGTGGCCATAGAATGGAAATTCCAGTGTATTTTGCCCACCGGGTAGCCACAGGTGCTGCGTACTGCCTCTCATAGAAGTCAATGGCTGTATGTGGGTATACACCAGACTTGCATAAACATGCACATGCGTATGTGCACCCAACCCCAAATGCAGACAGTTGGGGTGGTGCACCTATACCCATGCACATTTTTACACAAGTCTGATGTAACGTTGGTTATAGCTGTTGGCTTCTATAGGTGCCTGTACGCAGCACCTGTGGCTACCTGGTGGAGAAAATACACCAGAATTTATGTTTTGTGGCCCCTAACAGAACATACGTTAAATGTGCTGCACCCATGTGATCTGGCCTTAAATAATGGGGGACAACAGGAACAGGTGGGAAATTTTCCAGTGGGGACACTAGTTCTGGTGACCCTGCTGACCCCCAGGGATTTCCTCACTTTGTGGATATTGTATAGGAAGTGGAGGGAAATTTCCCCAGTGGACACGTATGGCAAAAAATGCTTACAGGGGTTATAACTAGGTATGAACCGATACCGGTATTTTGGGATCGAGTACCAACATTTTTTTCGGTACTCGCCGATACCGAGTACTGGAAGACCCATTCTGGAAGCCAGGCGGCGTGTAAACACTCAACACCTGGCTTCCTGATTAGCCTGGAAGCAGGGCAACGTGTAAAGACTCACCACCCACTTTCCCAATTAGCAGGGAAGCTTTCCCCGTGCTTCTCGTCACGTGACAAGAGAGCATGGAGACTGCTTCCTGATACCAGAAGTATCGGGCTAGGCATTGGAGCATTACTCCAAATACTCGGCACCGATACTAGTATCGGTGCATCCCCAGTTATAACCCTCACTAACTCTTATCTAAAACTAAAAAAAGTTTTAGTTCTACTTTTAGGATTAAAAAAACCCAAAGTGACTTTGCTACAGTTTGGGAAATCTAAGCGTCAGGTTTTCTTTGAGTCCCGGGGTCAGGATGACTGTAGAATTCTGTGATGAGAGGTATTCAGGAGGAGATTTGAATGAGCTGGGCCCTCGTCTGTGGCTCTGAAAGCAGGTAAAAGGTTCTTCTGGCTGAATACTTCAGGTTCAGTGGAGCATTGCTGTGTAGCACTGTAGTTGGCTGCACTTTCCCTTTTAAATCAGTGCTGTGCTTTGCAGCACATAAAATGGCTGTGCTCGTGCTTGGTCAGCGGTTTCACGAGCCTCAGCCATCTGTAATAACAGGAAAGGCTTGTGTCATAACCTCTTAAAGTGCGTCTTGAATGCCCTTCTTGAAAAGTACCACTCTGACATCATTCGGTCAGACTGCGGTGATGTCATGGAAATTTCCAGGCAGTGACTCAGAGCCGAGGACTGTCAGGAGACAGACGGAGCCGGGGTGTGGATTATACACTTCCCGGGCCTTAAAGGAGAACTCCAGGCAGATCTGAGCTCGGTAATGTAAAAATTGCAATTTAAAGCGATTTCTGGCTGAGAAAATCGGTTACTTCTTTGAAATCGCTAACAGCCGTTTTATAGCGATTTGTAGCTTAACCAGTTGACATCCGCGGTGTTAAACCCCCTTCCCATCCAGGCCATTTTTCAGTATTCAGCGCTGCGGTACTTTGACATTTATTCCGTCATGCAGCGCTGTACTGAAATGAATTTTATACCCTTTTTTGGGGACAGATCGAGCTTTCTTTTGGTGGTATTTATTCACCACTGGGGGTTTTATTTTTTACTATATTAAGGAAAAATGACCGAAATTTAAAAAAAAAAAGTTTCCCCTATATTAAATGATAAAACATTTATTACCCAATTTTTTGGTAAAATATAAAAGACGGGGTCACGTCGGGTAAAAAGACACCAAACATGTCAAGCCTTAAAATTGCGTGCGCGCGCGAAAGCTCAAAAAACGATAATTTATTTATATGTATAAAATAAATAAAGGCCGTGTCGTGACACGCTGCAGGCCGTGTCCTCAATCCATTGAGGAGCTCGACTGCTTAGTCCCCTCGGCATGGACCGGACCTGTCAGGAACTATATTCTGTCACCGGCTCAGGGCATGACCTAGATTTCTCGCATCCTTATTCCGCTTCATTTTATCTCATTGTGGCCACAAAATATTTCTCCTGTAATTCACCAATTATGGGTTATTGCCGCAGTATAGGAGTCTGATACCAATAGGCCTGCCTACTATGGAGGAGCAAGTGCAGAGTTTTTGGTGCTTCCCATTGTAAGTATTTGGAGTCCCCTTTTTATTTTTTTCTTGCACTAAGGCCTGGTTCACACCAAGCGTTTTGTAGCGCTTTTTCTGCCTTAAACGCTCAAAAAAGCTTTTTTTTTTGCATATTACACCCTGTTTTGCCCCTATAGACTCAATAGGAAACGCTTGAAACCGCGCATTTGCTGTGTTTTTTGCTTTCTTTTTGGGCGCGTTTAACACGTGTCTGCTCAGTAACATCATTGAGGTAGAATCTGCTCACAAAAACGCGTGACCCGATTTATGCGCATAAACCACGTGTAAAAAGCCCACAAAAACGTGCATCAAAAACACTGTCGCCTAGGTGTGAGCACAGCCTAATGGAATGGCAGCGCTGGAAAGCAGGTGGTCTTTGCAAGAGCGGGGAGGGCAGTTAGGGTGATACTTTGAGACCAGGTTTGAGATATAGCCGGGAGCAGAGTTGTGGATGGCTTTAT